TTTTTAATAAATCTGCAAAAATGTCAAATTCTGTGTTTTTCTGTCAATATGGGGTGCTGTGTGCACATTAATGAGGAAAAAAATGAACTTAAATGATTTTAGCATATGGCTGCAATATAACAAAGAGTGAAAAATTTAAGGGGGTCTGAATACTTTTTGTACCCACTGTATATACATACTGTAGTGCTCTAATATCTGCAAGAAGCACCTGCTATTACAACTAGAGATTGATGAGGTACAACATGAATGCTCCAGCAAGGGGGAGCCAGGACACCATGTGGGGGGGGAGATATTATCATCACCCCCACAATCAGAGACTGGGTACCAAGCCCCAGTAACAAGCCCAGATGACCTTAATTCAAGAGCAGCTGACTTGAGATTGAAGATCACGAGCCAGATGGACACCAGGAACCTCCATGGCTGGTTTCCAAGACTAAGTGAAGTGCCTTCTGAAATTCTACTAGAGGAGGTGAATTCAACACTAAGAACAATCCCTACTATGACCATCACTGAGACCAACAAGCTCATATACACCACAGCAACCATCATCCTTGAGATGCTTGGCTATAAGTTCAGCAAAGACCATAAGGAGCAGTATCCTCCATGGAGAAGGAGGTTGGAGACCAAGATCAAGGCAGCAAGGAGAGAAGTTAGCCAACTGTCGGAATTGCAGAAAGGCGTGATGAACAAAGGGGTACCTAAGAAGTACAACATACTGTCCATACCTGAGGCCTTAGAAACTGACAAGCAAAGGCTCACAGCCCTGGCCACCCAGTTGAAGAGGTACACCAAAGAAGCTGAAGCCAGGAGAATAAACTGAATGTTCTCAACTGAGCCATCCAAGGTGTACTCTCAGTGGCAGGGTATAACATAAGAGCAGACCCACCAAGGCTGGAGACTGAACAGTTCTGGAAGAGCATATGAGAGAAGGAGGCATCACATAACAACATTGCCCAAGTGGACTTGAACAAGTTCCAGTAACCATCATAATGGCAGACATCAAAGAGAGGATCTCAACAATAAAAGTGGCCCTAACATGATCCACGCCTACTGGTTGGCCCTGACATGATCCACGCCTACTGGTTAAAGAAGCTAACTTCACTCTATGAGTGCCCGGCGGGACAAATGAACCAGCTACTAATTGATGGAACCCACCCCGAGTGGTTAACTGAAGGCCAGATAGCCCTGATCCTGAAGGACCCTCAGAAGGGAGCAGTATCATCCAACTACCGCCCAATAACCTGCCTCTGCAGAACATGGAAGCTCCTGTCAGGCATCATAGCAGCTAAGATGAGTAGGCACATGGCTCAATACATGAGCAG